TTCGTATGTGTCCGTTAACAATCGGCATATGGAGGTCAGTATGAAAGGTTATGTTGCTAACGTACCAAGGTGGCTTTGTGATTATCCTGAATGTTTTTGCTTGAATGATTTGAAGTTTGTTTAAGTGAGTCTTTTTAGATGTAACAAATATCTGTGACGCGGTATGACTAGCTCGGCAGTAATACCCATTCTTGGGTATTAAGGCACCAAAATATTGCGATAAGGACATCAGTCTGGAACGAATTTTCGGTAGTTAACGAATCGGAGGCAGTGGAGACTTTATAAATAATGGGTGTATTCATAATGTTACAAATGGCATCTAAAATATAATATAAGTAATATAGTATGGATATATGAGTTGACTACATCAGTTCACTCCAGGTCTCCTACAGTGAAGAGTCTGACTCAAGAATGCAACTGTATGAGTGATTTTTGGTCTGAGGATCATAGGGATTATATTCTCAGTAATAGTAGGGGGGATGAATCAATTCTGGTCGGTCTAGGAAGCGTGTGAATGAAGTTATCAACTATTAAGAATTGATATCCTTATCTTTTAGAATTGATATTAAGTCTGTGAGAAAGTGCTCGTTTGTTGAAAACGGTTATTGTTCCCTAAGTCTTGATAAGTGTCTTCTGTCCAGTCAGTACATTCTAGATAACTATTTCTAAGCTATCAGAGATAGCTTGACCTGGCTACCTAGGGCTTTGATAAAGGTCATGATAAAGGTCAATGAATGATTAAATTAAATAAAAGTTAATATTAATAGTTGTTACGGATTAAGTCCATTCCGTAACGGATGACATAAGCTCCACGCACTGGACATCTCCCCTCACTTCCCACCAGCCGCTCCAGTTAACTGAACCCTACCGGCCTAGTATTGTGACATTTTGTTTCATCGGGAGTCTGGGACGAGCTTTCGTTAGTTAACGTATCCTTAGGCAGTCAGGACTTTATAAGTAATACTTGTATCCAAAACGTCTGCTACAAATGTTATCTAACATACAGAGAAATACTATAAATATATGGGTGGACTACAAGAGTTCGCTCCAGGTCTCCTGGCAAAATTGTGACTTCAAGAATGTAACTGCAAGAGTGATTTGTTCTGAGGACCATGGGGGTAATGTACCCAGGAATAGTGGGAGGGGGATGAAGGAATTCTGGGAAGTCAAAGGATCTTGAAAAAGGGCTTATCCTGAAAATTTTTTTTGGTCTTATATTCTTCATCAGCACCTGTCATGGTAGTGACAATTAACATATTTGTTGTTAGGCAGAAAATGGCATGATAGATATGACAAAGAATGGAACTCAGCAGCACCTCTCCATGGTCTGTTTACATCCTAAAATCAGGAAAGGAGATCTCTCATCCAGCTCCTTTTCAGTCGCGTCCTGATGAGCATTTCAGCCGTGGCCATGCGTTGATAAGTCCATTGTGATGCCCGTGTAGTTTAAGATGAAATCGGGAATAGAGAGTACATATGTGCTGGTCAAAAGGTTGGTTGTCTTAGGTCTTGACATACCAGGGGACTGCAGTTATTATTCTTAAAATTTTAGATTGAAAAGATTGTAGTTTTTGTAAGTGAGTCTTTTTAGCTGAACCGTAAATCTGTGAGGCGTATGTCCAAATGGGTTTGAGCAGGTAAGTGTATGTATTTAGTTTTTGTCTAATTTTCAATTTTGATTTAGAAAAAAGCGAGTATAGTATTTTCAGTCGCTTTTAAGGCTTTCTTTTCATTTTGACCCCTGGACTCCAGGTCTTCTGTCAAATATTAGTCCGAGGTAGCGTATAGTGGCCGAAACGTAAATGTTATGTGTTGTAATTTGTTATGATTTAATTTAGTTTTCCAAAGTGAATACCAATTTTGTAAATTTAGTAAGTGATTTTGTAAATTTAATGAGGCTAGTCTGGGGTCGTGATGTTTTGTTAAAATTGTTGTATCGTCAGCGTAAGTAGCAGTCAATGTTTCAGAGGTGGTAGGCATGTCATGAGTATAGACAATGTAGAGTAAAGGTGCCAATATTGATCCTTGCGGCACCCCTGCTGATACTGGTCGAATTGAGGAAATTTCTACACCCTGTCGGACAGAGAAGAATCTATCGAGAAAGAAAGACTCAAGAATGAGATAGTATGTATTAAGGATTATAGTTTTGAGTTTGAAGAGAAATCCCTGGTGACAGACTTTGAAATAAAAGTTAAATTATTATTATTATTATTTGTTAGGGATTAAGTCCATTCCGCAACTGTTGGTATTGGGTCCACGTACTGGACGTCTTCCTCCACCATCCCACCAGCTCCAGGCTCACCTCACCTTGCACCAGCCTGGGCCAATTTCTGACTGCAGCTGTATTTATTTTAATGAAATTTACAACTGTATTATATGAAAAATACAACAACTAAATGTGACATTGGTAACATGACATGTACAACATGAAGAGAAACTACCCATTGGTAGAACTCAAATTAAAGTTATATATTAGAAGGTCCCGAGGCCATCTTCTTTTAAGACGCCTCGGAGGGTTATCAGGGATCGAGGAGGAAGCAAGGTTTGAAACGAGAGGATTCGGATGGTTCTGCAGTTTGTTATGGAAAGATAGGTATCTGGATTGGGCCAAATCGGAAACATATGGAACATTAAGGTCTTTATGGATGATTTTATTTGTGGCAAAGTAAGGAGCGTTGGGGATTTTACGAAGGATTATGGATTGTAAGGAGGAATTCGATGGTTTAGTGGAGCCCCAAAGTCCAAATAGGTCTTATTATTGTCATATATATGAGTCGTTTGTAATTGATTGAAAGCTTAGAGCGTTTGTCTAGTAAGTGCTGCAGTAGTCGAAAACGTCAGGCGGTTTATAGTCGTTTCAGTCTGGTATGGGGGTTCCAAGTGAGTCGTTTGTCCAGGTGGAGTCCTAGGTATCGGATTTGTTCGACAGGGATAAGAGGGCTATTGTTGGAGGATACTGTAGGACAGGAAGCCATTGGTTTACGACGAAGTGTGAAGGTAATTTGATGGGATTTATTGGAACTTATTTTAATCCTCCAGTTTTTACACCATTTTTCAAGATTTGTGATGTGTGATTGAAGAGTTTGGGATGTAATAGATGGATCGTTATTAACTGATAGGAAACATGTGTCATCGCCATAGGTGGTGATGACACTGTTGGATTGGGTTGGGATGTCAGCTGTATAAACTGTGTAAAGGATAAGACCTAAGATACTACCTTGAGGAACACCGGCATACTGAGTAAAAACAGATGGATAAGCATTGTTGTGATTCACTTTGAAGTAAGGAAATTAAAATTAATTTAAGTTTTTCCTGGCTAATTTAGTTTTTTTAAAGGTTTTCTAGACATTAAATTGATTTCAATTTTTCAAAAGAGGGATTATTTATTTATTTTCCATTTTGATTTATTAAATATTTATATTTAATATTTTGTCGTGCATGTATTTTTCATTTTTTGCAGGTCTCATATTTTACTCATAATTTTTAACCTTCTTTCCCATTGTTCAATTGTATTCGTATTTTCCCCATATTTGAGGAAACTCATGGGGGAAAGAAATGTATTTTAATTTAGAAATACCACTGACCCATTTTTATTAATATCAGTTATAAATATCAATGAATACAAAAAAAAAAACAAAAATCTTTGTTAATATAGTTGTTTAATGACAAAATTAACTTTATTGCTTTATAACAAGTTATTAATATCAGTACTAGATTAAAAGTAAAAATATTCAATGAATAAAATATATAATTAATAAGTAAAATAAATAATTACTTTTTTTATGTTTTTATTAGTCCTTGGTACAGACTCCTTTTTATCGAATTATTAAGATCCGCCTCAAACTTCATAAATAGTTTCATCTCATGGTAAACTACAACTATTTTATTTACAAAAACTCTGGGCATTGGGGCTTTATCAATCTGGAGGGGGGCAAACTTTGTATATTTAATTAATAATAATAAAAGGCTTAGCGAACCCGAAGGTTCGATGCCCACACCACCAACCGCTTATTACACACCTCCCTCCACCGTTCGCCGTCCAAACCCAATCCCTTCAGATCGGCTTTAATACAATCTTCCCACCTTCGCTTCGGTCTACCCCTCGGACGTTTACCATTCGTCACAGCAAATATTAACCTTTTAGGAATTCTCTCGTTCCTAAGCCCAACAACTTTACAAGTCCATTTGATTCGCCGCGATGAAATTACCTCAATTATATTACCCGGATACAGCTCACGCAATTCGGCGTTGTGTAACCGTCTGAACTCTCAAGTTAACTCATCCTTCTTCGGTCCGAATATTCTACGCAATACTTTATTTTCAAAAACCTTAAGACGCTGCTCATCCCTTAGTGTAAGCGACCAAGTTTTGCATCCATAAAGAACTGTAGGCAAAATAATTGTTTTATAGATTCTAATTTTTAAGTTCCGGGACAAGAGGCGCGAACTAAGTAGTTTTGTCACAGAAAAATAACAAGCATTCCCCGCCTTCAGTCTAACCTTAATCTCTTCTTCAATTTCGTTTTTTCTAGTTATCGTAGAACCTAGATACCTAAATTTATCTACCTGTTCAAACATATTGCCCTCTATATCGATATCACCAGTAGTATCGCCATTTTTGCAGCTAACCATATATTTTGTTTTATCCACGTTTATTTCGAGTCCTAGTTTTTTACGGGCTTGTATATTTAATTAGGTAGTAAAAACTCGTAAGTACCCATTTGCTTTCTACTTGGATCGTACGATAATTTGAACCACGTGTGTGGTCTTCGAAAATATTGAGCCGTTTGGCGTGACCAAAATCCCCAAATTTTCCAAATGACGAGGTCACCTTTTTTTATCGATTTTGTGACAAAACTATGTTACGATCGAAGCAGAAAGGAAATGAGTATTTACAAGTTTTTAGTACCTAATTGAATAGACAAAGTTTACCGATCTCCAGATTGATAACGCCCCAATTCCAAGAGTTTTCGTTAATAAAATAGTTGTAGGTTACAATGAGATGAAACTATTTACGAAGTTACAGGCGAGTGTTAATAATTCGATAAAAAGGGGTCTGTACCACGGACTACTTTGGAAATGTTTCAAAATTATTTTTTTGGAATGACAAAAGATCAGATATAAACATTTGATTAATGTAATATTCCTTAATAATAATTTTTTTTTTTTTAATCAAGCAGTAACGTTAGACCGAGCTACGACGGTATTGTTTCTCCCACACGTTCCCTCCACTACCTGGCCGAGGTATAATATGTCCTGGATATTTCACAATCACCATTTTCTTCGCCTCTTTCTTCCTCCATCCAGTGGATTTGGAGCTGGTCTGTGCTCCAGAATATAGTTCATCACATCCTTTTCAATGAGACACAATGGTACTAACTTCCGCAGGGGCTTCTGCTCATCTGTAAATCGATATAAATTCATGTTACAATGTTTACAAACTTTTAATGATACATATATTGCCTGTATTATTTATACAGGGTTTGACACTCTATATTAAAGGTGAAACAGTTTTTTACAATTTTTCGAAAAACAGCTCTAACGATAGTGAGATACAAGAAAAATTACTAAACTATGTCAACAAACTAATTAAAAATAAATACATTAAAGAAAAATATAAAGATAGACTAATTAATAGACACTATACCATTCCGAGAATATATGGCCTGAGTAAACTACATAAGACAAACACACCACTGAGACCAATAGTCAATAATATTAATGGGATAACTGAAAAACTAGCAAAATTTTTAAATCCAGCACTAAATAGTCTTAATAATAAAAATACATATGACGTAAAAAATTCTATGGAAGTCAAAGATAAGATGAATAATGTTAACAAAATTGAAGATAATGAATCCCTAGTCAGTTATGATGCGGAATCCCTGTTTACTAATATTCCCCTTAAAGAACTACATAAGATATTGGAAACAAATTGGGAGGAAATCGAACCCCATACGATGATTAGAAATAAAGCACTGTTCATGGAGGGGATATATTAATCTGTGACAACGGATACTTCACATACAATAGTAATTTCTTTAAAATTAGAAACGGACTGCCGATGGGAGGAGTTATATCGATTAATCTTAGCGGCATATATCTAAATAGCCTGTTGGATAAAGCTATAAAGAAATTTAATAAAATTCCTAAGATTTTTATAAAGTATGTTGACGATATCCTGACGATTATAGACATAAATGAAATAAACATTTTTTTAAACATATTAAATTCATTGTCTGATAAACTTAAATTCACAAATGAAGCAGAAGAAAACAATAAAATTAGATTCTTGGACATGAATATAAATAGAAATGAAGCAGGGATACTAAAAACATCGTGGTGTAAAAAAGTTATTACGAGCAATAGAATACTAAACTGGCATAGTAACCATAATACACAACAGAAAATTAATACAGATAACAATTTAATAGATAGGGCCAAACTAATTACAGACGAAATACATATTAAAGAAGTAAAAACACTAATATATGAAATTCTACTCGAAAATTGGTACCCCATAAGACTGATAAATAAATTATGGCACAAAGATAAAAGAGAAAAAAACATAGATAATTATAAAGAAATAAAGGGTCCAAACATCAATACCAATATAAAAACGTATCAAAACAAGACCAAAAATAAAAAAGCAAATCTAATCACAAACTATTTTAAAGTAGATAATACTGAAAAACATAAGCATAACAAAGAAAATCCTGATCTACAATTTCAGAATGAGAAAAATAAGAATATTAACGCAGACCCCAACCCCAAAAAATACTTTTCGGTCAATTATATTAGAGGTTTAACTGATAAAATTGAAAAAAAACTTTTAAAAAATATGATATAAATGAAATCAGATTTGGGAAAAAACCTATTAATAAATTAGATAAATTATATAGTAGAACTAAGGATATTATTCCAAAAGAAAAACTAACTAATATTGTTTATAAAATACGATGCGAGGATTGTGAAAATAAAGCATATTACGGACAAACCTCACAATGGTTTGAACGTAGGATACAGCAACATAGACAAAATTGCAGGTCTAAAACGACAAAATCAAAATTAGCCACAGGATTATCGCAGCATACCACAAAAAATGGACATAAATTTGATTTCGGTACTGCTTCCGTGTTGCATAGAGAACAAAATATTGGGAAACGTAGAATCATTGAATCTATTTTTATCACTAAAAATCTAAAACATTCAGTGAATCAACAGACAGATGTTGATAATTTAAACACGTTTTATGCTAGCACAATTGACAAAATTAATATATAACATACTGATATAAAACAGCTGATCACTAACCCCTCCACCCCACTCCTTATGTAAGTAAATCCAGTCCTGTATGAATGCCCTATTGAAGAACAATACATTTCTTGATACCGTCTGCAAATAGAGGTATATAAATCGAAAATTAATAATATTCTTTTTAAAATTAATTATAGCAATCTATTTTAATTTATTATTTATATATTACAATTTTTAGAAACGGAAAACGACATTCTTTGAAATAAAATAATGAATCAAGAACGAATCATATCGCAATCATAAATTTTAAAATTTTATGGCGCGGTGCATGGTAGGTGGATGATACAAGTTTATTCAAAATTAAAAGAAAAAAAAATTTAACTAAATGTATTACTTGTGGTTGTTAAATAATATGTGTCTGAGGCTGTATTTGAATGGTAAAAATTAAATTAAAATTAGTTTTGCAGGTTCTTGAAAATGGCTCCTGAAGCCGAAACGTTGAATAAAGCATACAGGAGATAAAAAACTGTGTTTTTTTGGTGACCTTTGGCCTAAAATAGGCATATGATAAGTTATGATATAAATTTATGTTACAATGTTTATAAATTTTTAATGATACATGTATTGTCTGTATTTATACAGGGTTTGACGTAAGTAATTGTAAATATTTAATAAGGGGACAATAGGCCTTAAGAACTAGATTTTTAGTTCGGTGATAAGAAATAGAACCGTAAAATATTCCGATTTTTCGAAGAAAACTTTTTTTTATTTAGTTATTTATCCGCACCTGTCATGGTGTTGACAATCAGCAGATGTGTTCTGATGATGAGGGTAGGCATTAAAGGCATGAGGAAGGATAGTATCCAGCAGCACCTCTTCCTGGTCATTCTTTATTTTTTTGATTTAGGTGAGAAGATCTCTCATCCAGCTCCTTTTTAATCTCCTCCTAATGGGCATGTCAGTCGTAGCCATGTCGATTATAAAACTGTTTGTGTGTCCGTGTAGTTTGAGATGAAAACGAGAGTAGAGAGCACGTATGTGTTGGTCTATAGTGGGTTGTGGTAAGTCGTGATGTAAAGTTTTGTTGTTGACGTACCAGGGAGCTCCTGTTATAAGTCGTAAAATTTTAGATTGAAATGACTAGTTTTTGTAAGTGCGTCTTTTTCGCCGAACCGTAAATCTCAGAGGCGTATGTCCAGATGGGTTTGAGTAGGTAAGAAAACTTGGAAATTTGTTTTGCATTTTTATTTTCACTTACCTATATATGAAATATATATAGTAAGCGAAAGTATTGCGATCGTGAAAATTTTCGAATCGGAGTTTTCAACAGAAATACACGTTTTGAGATCTCTTGAGTCAAAATAATCCTCCCAAAATGGTCTGTGTGTATCTTAACAGTCTAGCTCAAAAACGAAAAGTCGTAAGAAACTGATATTACGTATTTAAGATAGGTATATGCCTTGGATGTCACAGCAACTTTTTCCTTGAAATCAGCTAAGCGGAAGTGCCACTCTATATTAAAACTGAAACACATTTTTACAATTTTTTGAAAAACGGCTCTAACGATTTTAATTAAAGTCGGTGTATCATTGTGCAATTAAGTGGTATTTAATATAATTTCCGTCTTATCTCCATTGATGTCACTTTACAGGGCTCTCTCTAAAGTAGCTTTAATATGTTTTATTTTTAAAAAATTAAATCTATTTTATTGACAGTAACAATAAAAAATGGCTAAATATGAAGTTTGAAAGAATATGATAATTGGAACCTGGAGAAAAAAAATTAAAATTCTTATCCAAGTCGAAAAGGAATCTTCGGAAATAATAGTCAGAAGGTATACGTATAATATATCGTTGGAAAGCGGAGAAATTTACACGTTTTGAGATCCCCTGAGTCCAACTAATAAAGTCCGCAAAATGTTCTGTGTGTGTTAACAGTCTAGCTCAAAAACGAAAAGTCGTACGCATGTGAAATTACATACTTAAGGTTTCTATATGCTAGGGATGTTATAGCAAGTTTTCCATCATAATCGGCTAACCGCAAGTGGCACTCAACACATTTTTACTATTTTCTTGAAAACGGCTCTAACGATTCTGGTTAATTCATCAAATTATTGTAAATTTAAGCAGTTTTGAATAAAATGTAGTTTGTATTCTGATTTGTGTTCTCTAACAGGGACTAAATAGCTAATTTTAATTATTAGCTTCCCCTAAAGTACCTTTAATGTTTTTATTTGAAACAATTGACTATTTCACATTAATCTCTAATATAAAAGATAGTTAAATATAAAATATGAAAGAATTTGATAATTAACTAAAGGTGAAATAAGAGATCGTAACGGAGAATAGTTGTAATTGAGGAACGAAAGAAATACGAGCACACCCGAGTTCACCCGAAAGATTAGAACAGGCTTACATACCTAATATGAGCTTAATATAATAAAGACTCCGACAATATTATGTAAATATTCATACATGCTTTTCATAAATGCTATTGTTGGTATTGTTTAATATTTAATTGTATAGATTACAGCGATATAAATAGTAAAATTTGTATATGTAAAGGTATTTATAAAAATAAAAATACCCACAGTGAAATAAATATAAATCAATATAGGACCTGATTATTGGTTTATTGATAAATATTACAATCTGTCTTAATAAAGGGCATTTATAATAGAGTTCTGAGAGCACATTCACACCATATTTAAAAATTCAAAAAAAATAAATAAATAAATAAATAAACAAGGTAATTTAAAAACAATATGAAGCTAAATAAGAACAAAATAAAATATCATAGTGAAGGAAGAAAATATAAATAATAGTAATAATGGAATAAAAATAATAAAATAGAATTAAAATTAACTTTAAAAAAAAACGTAATGAAAATAAACATCTTAGATGCAGGCATACCTATTTACACTATTTACAGTCGGCCATGTTAACTGCGAACTATACCTGTCCCCCCACATGTGGAGGGAAAGCAAGGCTTCAGGAGATCCCTGCGCTTCTTCCTCAACCACTTCACTGGTATTAAAAGCCAGCGGAGATTGAGAAAGGACGATAAATCAATATAGCGTTTATAATTTTACTTTCACTTTCCCTTTGTATGAAAATGCTTAGTTCTGCTAAGATGAGGGTGGTAA